ATTAATAAATATTTATACTAACATGTAGCGTTATTGCAATCAAATAAGCTCCGGGGAGGGTTTGTTTTATATCAATTAACCATTTAATAACATGTAACTTCAATGTACTTTGAGATTATCATGTTTAAATACATCCCATTATATTTTAGATCTCAATTTTTTGTGTAAGTATTTTAGACGCTATTGCAGCTAGAAACTTCGACTTGTACTCAAATTGTCAGTTTCGATGGCATTTGCCACTACAACAGAGACAAGAGTTTGGTGATGACTAGCGCAGCAATACCTACGTCTAGGGTGCAAGTAAGCTGAAAACGTCTAAATGACACCAAGTGACGGGACAAACAAGTCGTGCGCCCGGTGGTAAGCGACTCGCGTGTCCATAGCAGCTGCAATGGCACTCAGAGTTTTAAATCGCAAAGATCTGAAAACCGCTGCCACTGCGCCCGTCACCCTGAGACATAAGTTGACAAGTCGTGCGACCTGTAATTTCACCAAATGGAAATAAGGACACATTTTCGACTGTTAATCAGTTTAACAATATTTAATTCACAAATTATAGTCTATATTGAAGGTACTCCTGTCTTTTTTGTGTATCGAATTCTTGATTTTCTTAAATGAATACACCTGATAAAAGATATAATTTACCTTCATGACTCACTGAGAGAGTCAGTTAAGTCGAACCTTTAAGACAAACCATTTTTATTTCATCAAAACTAGTAACCTATATATATGCACCTAAGATATCTTTTTTACTTTACGCGTTATTTTACTTTATGCATGTAATGTGTTTTTAACCCGGCGAGGATTAGGAGGTGTCATTATTATCCTGCAGATTTTTGATTGAGTACAGTTTTTATTGTATGTTGTCTACTATCTCAGTAGCTAGAGTTTATAGCTGGGTAGAGGGCTACCTGCCACATTTAGGGTTCCAAGTCAAAATAATAAGGAACAGCGTGAGAGCAAGCGACTAGGTCGTATTCTGATGGAGTCAGATAGCGAAGATGAATTGTTACCCGACAGCAGCGAAACGGAAGATCATGTGAATGAATGTGAACGCAATGAAAATAGTATACGGAGCAAAATGCCAGTGATGAGAGTAACGATGATGATAAAGAACCACTAGCGTATTTGCAAACCTAAGATCGACTTCCTTCAGTCATAATAGGCAAGAGCAATTGTTTTAAAAATGTTGACCGAGAGCTTGTCTGTGAACACTTAAGTACTCGAAAAGAAATACCACATTTGCCTAGCCAACAATTGCGTAAAAGAAGGACAAAATTCAGTGGCGATTCTACAGGACAGACTGTCAAAGTACCAGGTGCCCGAAATAGCGTCAATTATGTCCTTATACCAGACATCGGAAGACAAATCATGTGTGTGAAGGATGTCGTACGTACATTTGTCCAGAACATACTGTTTCGTACTGTCAAAAATATGCTACGGCTACACAAGTTTAGGCTGAATTTGACTTTTATTGCATTTATTACGAATATTATTGATCTCATGTTATATTACCAAAATAACTTAACTAGCAAGATAAAATAATGTTTGTTTATTTTTTATGGCATGGAACGAAAAGACCTTGCAAAGTTGATTATTTTGTAGACGTATTGTAAAATAAGTATGATTAGAAAATTTATACTTAAAACCATAAAACTTATTTTTTTTAATGAATGTCTTTGAAATGAAGCCGTACCAATATGTTAATATAAAATAATTTATTAAAAAGTTGTAACTGATATATAAAAAATTTAAATGAAATATAGAGTAATAATGACCCTCCTCAACATAGACGTACTCTTTTCGTACTACATCCTTGCGGTTAAAAGAAATAAACAAAAAATTCCAAGATAAGTATAACATAATACTCTTTATAGTTAAAATCAACTCAAATGCGACAGGGAGAAACCACTACGAAATAAGGAAATATTAGAAAGTCAAATTTGAGCAGTCCTGAATACATTTATTAATAAATATTACGAATAAAATCATAGTAGACTGTGGTTAGCCTCAACAAAAACGACCGATAAATTGTTTATCTATTTTTACTCCTTTTATTACGAGATCAACAGCTTGAATGTTTTTTTTTTGTGTCATGAAGGAATTATGTAATTTTCTATAATTGCTAGTATTTAGGTACCTTGCATGTGAAATATAGCCGCTTTTATTGATTGTTATTTTTGTATTGGGATAATTTTCTAATTTGTCGTTTTCCAAATATACGCACGGGACCAGTACCCTACCAATGACATGGACCTGGACATCTAATACGTATTGTATACGTGTTTGACGTAAATAATTTTACCGGCATTAATATGTAAGTAACCGAGAAACTATTTCAATTAATTAGATTATCGTATCGAGTAGCTATGACGTTGCGGACAGCGGTACCAGCAGCTCGATATTGCAACAGAATCCAGTTAATTGATATAAGTACTTTGTTGTCCGGCTTTGTGAATTTAGTCACAGTATTAGTACGTTTCGAAACTATAAACACTTGCCGGCAATTCCTGCAATACCTTAAAAAAAGTCTTCATTCAAATTCACGTAAATGACAAAATGCCGCCAAAATGTTTCGAAATGTGAAAGTCGCTTACCATTTCTTAAAAAAAACTCAATTAAAATAGGCACGTCAATGAGAAAAGACCACACAGTAATCACAATTTGCAGTCGTTATTTCAATTACGCCTTTATGAATAAACTAAAAAAGAGCAGTGAGCATTCCAAGTCGAGCGCTGTAAACTAACAGTGGGTTTTGTGAGGCAAAAAGTTTTAAGTTTTAGAGAACTTCATTAACGTGAACATAGCTGCAACTGATTTGAGTTTATGTATTTAATAAAAGTCTCACCGCACGAGGAATTTAATAATTTAAACACTGTGAGTATTTTCACCAGCCGTGGACGTTAAAACGTACCAGTAACTTAAAGATTTGTTCAGCTGGTGGGTTAAATTTAAATTCAAATTTTTAGTGTAATGGTAGACGTGTTTTTGTCCGTTCACATTACTTATTGTAACTTTGGAGATCTTTTCCGCCAGTCATGAGACAACCAACCAAAACTTGAGGCGAATTCACACTCTTCTAAGAATTCATTGCAGAACATTATGTTGTGATAAGCCATTGTAAAAAGCTGTGATACCGCTTCTCAAGCAGAGGCCGTGGGTTCGAATCCGGGCTCGTTATTCCTCTGAGTTTTTCGGAATTTATCTGCGAAATTTAATTTGAAATTTACCATAAGCCTTCCATCTATTTCATCTATTTCTGCCGCCAAGCAGTAATGTCAACATTACTGTATTCCGGTTTTGAAGGGTAAGGGTGCTGGTGAAATTAGAGGCACATGGGACTTGTCGACTTATGTCTCAGGGTAACGAGCGCATTGGCAGTGCCCATAAAATCTTTACGATTTAAAGCTCCGAATAACACTGCAACTGTTATGGATAGGCGTGTCGCTTACCACCAGGCGCACGACTTCTTCGTTCCGTCACTTGATATTACAAAAAAAATGGCTTAAAACTCTCGCCTGAGGGGAAACCCGTGCCCAGCAGCGGAACGTATATTTACAAATGGGTTGATGATGAATGATCGATCAAAGCAGACTTAAATTGTCTGCTAACTTGTTAACGTAGGACTAATAGGCCAGGGACATTAAAAATTCATGACAACGTTAGAATTTATTCCTACTTAAGTATTTATGATTTGGATAACATTAATTGATAAGTAGGTGTATTGTATCAGCACTAATAGGCATGTGTAAATTACGTTTAAAAAATTTATTGTGTAGAAGAGTCAACAGTGTTTTGAAAGCAACAACATACAGTAAATGCCCCAGATGCTTACCTAAGTAACCTACGTTTTGGAGTAAAACATGGTGTATTTTCAGAACTGGATACAAAAAGCAAGGATGCCACAAGAATATCTTACATGCTGTTCTGTATGCCTTTAGCGTTGTACAGTTACACAACAATATTGTAACTACATTACCGCAACGAGCTTCAGAAATATGCATTGGCTGTTCGGCTGATTCTCCTCATGCAAGTAGCATGCACACCTAAACAATGCCTATTCACTCTCGCCTTGCAAATGTCCAAATTATAGCGTTCGAGGAATAAGTTCGCAGGCAGGGAATTCAACACCCGTCGCCTCGCCATACAAATGTGGAAGCGAAACGTTTCGCGCTTTTATTTTTATTGAAAACCAACTGCGCTTACAATATCATAAATTTACAAAGTAAATAATGAATGTTATTGACCTTGAGTTGAAAATTAATTCAGTATAATATGTAGAAGATCCAACTCAACCATTGAACAAACTTAGAAGTTTGTTTTATAGATAAAACAATTAAAAATATCTTTATTTCATAGATAAGTAATTTAAATTTAAAATCATCAAATTGATTAAACAATAGTGGCACATTACAAGCAGTACATTCGCAAGGCAGATTCCCCTGATAAAAGCTGCTATCCATTTTGTAAATAATAGAAACTTAGTGAAAATGCAAAATAAACAGGACGAAGCCTTTTAAGTTGACCCGGTATAATGTTACTTAACAAGTGTGCCAGTACTGCTACGAAAAGAACTACCTGTTCAAAAAGGTTGTCTACCCTTTTTTACTAATGAACGTGTTCTGAGATATGTATAGTATTTAGAAGTTTACATGTTAATTACATTGTAATATATTGCAAAGTTCTTTGTGGATTTGTGGGTGAGAAGTAAAGAACTCTAAGTGCTGCAGTAATTTTTACTACAGAGCGTTTTAAAGAGACTGGGGTTCTGAATTAGGTATTCAAAATCAATCATAAGTTCAAACAAAACAATGTGTTACATAAAAACAAACGACGATAGAACTGCATCGTTTACTATTGCGCGATTTTTATCATTCTAAATTCGATACCAATATTTGTAAAAACATCTGAATTGAAAAATTTGTACTTAAGGTCTATTACCTCTCACGTACAGATATATCTAAATAAAAAATAATATATGTACTGTAGGTAGTACTTACAATTAACAGAAACATCAACGATGGCATCCAGCTGCTGTCCCTCAGGCATAGCGCGGTTCCATACTACGCAACGGAAGGTGGCGCCATCATCCTCTCTTGTCGGAGTGAACGACAGCGTGGCTACGGAAGCCACCTCTCGTGTCTTCCCGTGGATCACCTCCGCGTCCAGAGGATAGGCTGAGCCCTCGCGATACCACCTGGTAAACAATGTTAAGATTGAGTAAAGTTCTAGTTACTATTGGACCTTGAATTGGAGGCGCTGTGACTTTTGGCACAAATGTTTATTTTGTTAGTTGTAGTGAATTTAACCTAATAATGGCTTGCAAATCTAATTTATCTGCTTTTGCTAATTTGCTTTGTGCATTTAAAGTTAATAAATAAATAAATGAAAAAGTGCACATCGAAAGGCTGTGACAAAAGGCCGCTTGAAGAAACCAACCTCAAATGCAGCACGTACAGTCAATAAATACAACATGCATACTTGTGTGTACGCCAAATGAATACTAAATAGTAATATAAAAATTCTGAAGGTTTTGCATAAGAAAGAAATAGTAAATTTCGTATATATTTTTTCCACAAGGACAAATTTTAGACATATGTATAACAAATTTAAACGAATTTATTAACACCAGTACAAAAAACGTGCTATTTAGTATTAAAATACTCTTAAGGCCCAAACTAAATCTTTCACAAGCAAAATGAAATAATGCCTCTTTTCCAGATTTATTGCTCCTGTTTTGAATTTTAAATTACTCAGTGTTATTGAAACTCTTGCGATAAATGTTTGTGTTTTCAATTATTCAAGATAAAGCAAATATCATAATATCCAAAACGTAGCTATTTTTAATCTATCTTTCTCTTATCGATATTTAAGGCTATCCGCGCAAAACTCGTGTAACTCACATTTAATAATTATATATTTTTTATACATGAAAATGGCATTCATATATGTATATAATCATTATATATGAATTTTAGAAAAAATAAATGTGGGTTACATGACTTTTGCGCCATGATATCATATCATCATTTCGTGTCATATTATACCAATAATAATAATAAATATGTTATACCAACAATAATAAATATAATGTAAGTCGAAGATGAAGAATGAGAAATAAAAAATAAATGGTTTGTATCACAGACCACATACGAGTAATACATTACAATAAAATAGGCTAAAATGTAATCGTCATTTTCCGTAAAAATTCAATAGCTCCGAAGTTTAAACTTCAGAAACAAGTACTTTAGGTTGACATTAAAAAGGTAAACCTTGAGCAATATTTTTTTTAAACGACTTCAAAAAACTTATTTTCTTCCGTGGTTTGTATTATAACGGAAAGCGAGTAAGTATGACAGCCTGTAATATAACTGGCAACCGAGTGAAACTCGAAAATACAACTTGAGAGAAAAGTGAAAAATGAGCAACGTGATAGTTTTAACGGTTTGAAATGAGAAATAATAAATTATTTTTTTATGTTACTGCATCTGCAGCTATTTATACATTGTTGGAACGTCTTTTATGAGCTGTGCGAGGTAGTAACGTGCTATTTTATTTATTAGCGAACAAAACTCGAGCAATGTGTATTGCGGTCTATTTAAACGAGAGCAAAATAAGTGCAATCCATCTTACACTCTGAACCATCTGATAAAGGTGGATAATTGAACGTTGCGCGAGAGATTGTTTGTAGCCAAGGTGAATGTAAATGCATTTTGATCTGCGGGACCGGTTCTTAGACTAGTTTACAGGCGTTCTCGCCGGCAGCGAGTCAAACAGGAATGAATTCTGCCAATCGAACTAATGAAGAAGACTTAGTTAGTGCATCGATAGCTTCGGTGTGTCATAGACAGTCCTGTCAATACGTATCTCAATGCAGGAAACTGTCTCAGCTATAGAATTCAATTTGGTAACGCGAGAATTCATATACAATAATTTCGTGTATATATTGAAGATATATGTAATTGTATAAAATAAAATTTCTTAGCCATTTTTAATAACGCAACGGGCACGCCACATGATAATTTACATAAGTGCATTTGACAAGTCATTCACATAAACTAAAACCTTTTTACAAAACAAAGGGGCACCTGCAACTTTCATAACCATTCAAATTTTATAAAAAAGTTTCATGTGTATGAGAATAATCGGAAACATTATTTTGTGTACACGTTTTAAAAAGTAATGGCTGGTAACATTTTATTTAAAAGATATTCGATTGGAATGAAAAGATTTATTATTGTTGTGTGTTAGATGTTGTGTTATTTAGTAAAAGGCACGTGCAAGTAATTTTAATTCATTGTCTAATTGTTTAAATTTATTTTCTTGACAAATTTTATACCGTCATAGCGTTCTATGGCCGAAAGAAAATATAATCGCTGATAATACAGTGACTTTTTTGAAGGAAGCTTTACACAATGCTATGTTTCGTAACGGTTTGGTGTCAGTCGGCCTATTCAGATGACCTGGACGACGAGACAGGCTCATTTAAATGCAGAGCAGGATCCGACAGAAAACGGTCTATTGAGCTTAGAGACGACCGATATATTGTAAGCTAAGCTTTTCGAAATCGGAAGACTACCTACACAAACATCAAAAACAATCTCGTAGTAGTAAAAAATGTAAGTGTTAGCCTGTGGAATGTCAGAAGACTTCTAATAGTTGAAATACACAACCGTGGATCGGTTAGGGGCCTAAATAATAAGCTTTCTTTGCCTTTTTTTTGCTTTGCTTTTTTGAAAGGAAATGAACTCCTGTGAAGTGGAGTAGGGTTTTATCTTCCGATGAAGACTGAATCTCTTTGTTTAAGGAACAACGTCGCAGAGTGATGAGAAACCTACAGAACGTCATACAGGCGTATGTTTCGAAGAAATTACGCTGTACTGTGGAGGGTCTGTTATATTTTAGACAGGTGTAACTTCTGAAGATCGTACGGAGCACGTTTTCATTGAAATTGGCTCTAAATGTACAATGGTACATAAGGAAAACCTTAATTTCTCAAGTACAACCAGCACTAGTTGTCCCAGGTGCTACTTCTCTTTTCTACAACGATGCTCAAGCACACCGAGCTGGTGAAGACTTACTTCAATGAGGTCGGGATTCCCGTTTGGATTGGCTAGCACGAAATCCCTCGACATCAGAAAAAGCAGAAAAAGTCATCCAAAATTACAGAAGTAATTTCAGCAAGAGGAGGCCACACACTATACAAATTATCTTTTTTCTTTTGTAACTATTGCTATACTAATAAAGGATAAATAGTCAGATAAAGGTAAAAATCAGTACATTTTCTTTTGTACGAGTAATTACAAAACACGGAAAAAATCAAATTAAAAAAGGCTCATTTACATACCAAAAGTTTTTTAAATTTAGTAAATGTTTTTTGTTTTATTTCGTTGCGTTAATATATTACCTTACACTAATACTTAAAGTACTGGAAAGATTCATAGAAGCCTTTTTTTGCAAAGGACTGTACATAATGGGGATACAGACACGTCATGATTGCCGTCAAAATGAGAAAGGCTTAAAAGCATTAAAAGTCGACGTTCCCCAATTAGAGTAGACTGTTTTTGAATACATCCGCTAAAGTTCAGCTAACAGGATTTTAATATACTTATGCAATTAAAATTGACTACTTATTTCTAAGTAAAGCGGTCGAGTAACTTGCACTTATCTATTTCAACTAATATCATTCGTTATAATATTCATTAGAAAATAATAACAAATCTTAATTTGTCAATATGGATTTCTTATATGGAATTTATAAACGTATAATTAAATTCTCATTTACAGTTTATTGTCTAACTTCACTGTATGGGAGAGAGTATAATAAAATAATAAAATAAAATGCCCAAGTATATTAAAAACGGCAACTTATCCCACAAATAAAATGAGAAGAATTAGAGAAACATTACTTAAAGTGATCTGAATAAACCTGTTAACTGTGTGTAAAAATAATAGAGGTGGAATTAATGCACCATCATAACGAATACGACTGTAAGCCAAACAGTTTTATACAATCCAAACTTTATTCCAAAATGAACGCTAAAACTTAAAACGGAACGGTCGATATCTTTAAAACCAAAAGACTGAAACTTAAAAGTTACGTATCTACTATATAATTGTGCAGATTATACTTTCGCAAACAAATGTTACTTGTTTTGATTACTAGCAGGCAACAACAATAAAATACTTTTGAGGTTATGTGATGCATGAGTAAGTCGACAGTTCATACGTATTGCAGTCTTTCACGGGTACCTTCCCAAACGAATTATGTTCTAATCGTGGAACCACACTGCACTCAGATTACTTTTCTTTTCATTATGTTCATATCATGACGCCCTCGGTGGCCGTATGGTTTGCATTGTGGAGGCCAGATGAGGAGATCCCGGCTTCTACTCCCGGCAGTACCAATTTGGGAAATGTCCAAAAAATTTTCTAAATTGTTTGAGTCTGAATGTAGCTTCCATTCTTCCATTCCATTGCTCTGGTACTCATAGTACAAGGAATTCCCTGATTTGAGAGCCAGGTGAAATTATCCGGCACATTATTTTTAAATTATTATATAAGCAATATAGAACTCGAGCGGGTCTATCAATACAAGTACCTTGGCCATTTTGTCTCCGACGACCTTAGGGACCTCATGGATATTGAGAGGGAACGCAGGGCGCTGGCGGTCAGGTGTAATATGGTGGGGCGAAGGTTTGCGCGTTGCAGTGAACAAGTAAAGATTCTACTTTTTAAATCATACTGCCATGTTTTTTACACGTGCAGCCTTTGGACCAACTATACGCACAGAGCCATCAGCGCCCTGCGAGTACAATATAATCAATGGTTTTCGTATGTTGTTGGGGCTGCCGCGGTTCTGCAGCGCGTCAGGCATGTTTGCACAGTCTCGCACTGATGACTTTTATGCCATTATGCTCAAAAAGTCGGCCTCACTGCTCTGCAGACTGCGAGCCAGCTCCAACCCAATACTGAAAACCATTGCCAGGACAATTGACTCTCCCTTTATGCGGCAACTTTTTTCGCCTCGTTTTTAATTGCCTCAAATGTTCATGTTTTTATTTTAATTTTAATTTAATCATGTTTAGATTTAGTGCCTACTAACATAATTTTTAAGAATAAAATTGTTACTAACACATGTGGACTAAATAGTTGTCTGAAATAAATATATTATTATTATTATTATAAAATCACGTTACTAAAAATTCGCTATCCGATGTAATATTCCACTTACTTGATTGACGGTTCTGGTGAACCACCGGATGTGGAACAGGACAGTTTGAGCTCTCGCTCCTCCTGGGCCTGGACTTGATGTCCTGGGGTGATCGATGGCGCTCCGGGTTGCGTGAGCACGACCAATTTGTGCGCCTGTGTGTGGAACAACTTCCCAGTGCCGCCCTGTCGTACTCGACACTCGAACTTCCCATTGTCACGCTCGTAAGACACATCTGTGATTAACAGGTCGAAGTGCCCGTCATTCGGTGCGTACGTGATTCTGCAACAAAAATATTTTGCTATAAGTATTTTTATATATATGTACATAGTCCTCGGAAGCTGAGTCATGGACCCTTTTGACATGCTTTTATTTTATAATTTTTTTATTTTGTTTTATTTTGTATGCTCTTTTTTATTTTAATTGAAATATAAAAAAAAAAGAAATTTTTTGTTGTTTTGTTTCAAATTCACGCATGTCAAATAAAGCCCATTGTATTTTTATTTATTTTTATTTTATGCCTACTCGTTTAACTATAAAAAAGTTAAATAATTGCGAATTCCAGAAAATATTCTTTTAAATTAAAATAGAAGCTTTTTAAACTCTGATGATGCTTCATTTACATCACATCTGAATCTGATACCGAAGTAAGCCCTCGTATTTCGGGTACTGATTCTGTTTTATAATTCCGGATGGTATATCTTCTATCTGGGGCTTATTCTTTTCCATGGCAATTTCATTTGGTTTGCAAATTCATTTTGCATGGTAGACCAGATAAATCTAGGATTTAACACGTTCACTACAACTATTACCACAAATTTGCAGAGTTCGTCTTCGTCGTCGTACAAATGTTTTAAATTCATTTGCTAACGAACCGTTTGATCAATAAAGTAACAACAATTTACGACTACCAATTAACTACGGAAGTTGAGATGAACTTTGCGATACTATGTTAGGTAGGTAATAAATTGTTTTCAAATTATAAATATGATATTACTGAGTTTTAGTAGTATGATGGCAATATACCTATAGGCGCTCTGTAGCGTGAGTTCTCCGAAGGCTACATTCTCGACCTCGCTCTCCGTGGTGCGAACCCAATAGTAGGTGATGTTAGGCAGTTGGGCCACTGGGTCGAACCGGCAGAGCAGAGTCACGTCGTCTCCTTCCCTTGCATCATGCAGCTCTGCTGGCCGCCCCGGCGAATTGTCTTCGCATTGTACTGGAAACAAGAATATCTTAATTAGAATCACGTTTCACGACTCACAATGCTACATACGATAACTTATCTGAATAACATCAGTAGATAAATCATTCATAAAAGAAGTTACTACATATGTATATGGAATTACATAAATGTTTCTCTCAGGGAAATTTATACAACAACAAAAACAACTCTCGATAATAAATATTTACAAAAAATACAGCTTTTACATAAAACACCACGATCCAACTTGAAGAAGGCAAGGAACCGCCAAAAATCGTAATGGCGAAGTTAAAATTATTGCGCTCAGAAAAGAAAGGCCATTACGGAAACGGCATTAGGAAGCTGGGAGCGATTCGGGATCGCAGTGCTAAAACATTGAGCGCAGAATCTATTAGTTCTCGGGTCACTGACAACACCCGACTACTAGACAATTCCAGATCATTCATTTATTACTTTATCCCTGCTACGACTGTCGCTACCAACTGCAAACTAATAATAATAATAATAAACTGGCAAGTTATTAAAGCATGTTTATGAGTCAGTAAAGTTTACGTCAGAAACGGAAATTAAATTTAATATGATTCACTAACATGTTTTATGCAGAACCTAGTTCAACTCCCACAGTAATATGTACCTAATTATATATACAGATTGTCTTAATGGGTAAGCCTGAAATGCTTTACTGCATAGCTTACAATTAGTACTGTACAAAACAAATAAAAAGACATATTTATAATAGTTATAATACTGCCTGTGTAGTGATACATAATAATAGAATAATGACCCCAAAAAAAACGAAAGAATTGAAAATAAGGCAAAAAAAATTACCTCCAAAGCCAAAAAACATATACCTATACAGTACTTACAATTAGATATTTATTTGTAATATATTATTCGGAATCAATGTAACTACATTGATTATAAGTATGATTGACTACCAAAATAACCGAAAAAGTTCGGATGTTTTTTCAATACTCAAAATCTCTGCAAAAATTTTAGCTTTATATTGAAGTGTTCTCAGAACTAAGAGATAATACTTAGAGAGTTCTCAAACCATCTCAACAAGTTCGTTGAAAAGAGAATGAACGTAGCGTTTGATATCTTCTTGTTTAGCCGTGGGCGCTTCCGCAAATTCATCTCGTCCCACTTCACGGCAACCTACTTCACTCTAGATATTTATGAAAACAACAACAAAAAAGAATTTAGTAAATTGTACGTGATTTTCATAAATACACGATACTCTCAAAGAATAATCCCGACTTTGTTACGAGTTGTTTGATATATAAAATAAAATAATTAATTATCTGCCGAAATCATGTATTTTGGTTGCCCGTCCCAAACACCATTGAGAGATACAAAATTCAGCAACTCTTCACTATTATATTAACATTTTATCTTATTGGCCTAATTACTTAAGCACTTCACAGCAGCGACGAAGCAAAACTGAAGTTAATTGGGGTCCATTCCTAGTTGTTAAATGCTATTTTTTTCTGTTGACTAACTGAAGCAGTGAGCATTTGAATAGGTTGTTGAAACTTATAATATTTTCATAGCTAAATGATCCAGGCCTCGAACTGTTCAAAAACTTCCGAACGCTGTGAAAAGTTTAAGTACACAGTATTTTATAGTACCGCCAGGAGAAGATCACGAGAACTATTACACAGTCTACATAATAATATATAAAAAAAAAAACAAACTTTCGAAAATTATGTTTGCAAATCGTTTATCATGATCGACTAAAGTCAGTATACGACCGAATTTCTCAATTCGTCAATGTCATCTGAAGCAAACTATGATTTAATGCCACAGCGATCTACGGCTGTTCGTGCCAATTTATAGTAGTCATAAATTCATTTCAGGAGCTTATCTGGAAGACCGATTATCTAAAACGCCGCCGGATCGAATTTCAAATAGCGCCATTTGCTGTTCACTTCTGCTTTATAAGCAAATAACAATTAGTTTAACGCACCTCGAAATCAGAGAACAAAAACGTAGCAATTACAGTTCCTGAGCCGACGAATAACGGTAGAATACAGTCATAGCTTTGAATTACAGTCATAAGTTGAAAGTGAGTGCGGTTAGAGTAAAAGACAAGCTACGAATACATAGGTCCCTTGTTCAACAATTTTGCTTCGACTGCTCGAGATGTGACAGCAAGACAAAACTAGTTTTAAATCAATTAAAAACGAGGAAGTGGGTTTAATGAGAACTATCTAGAGAGCAACTCTACATGGTACAAAACTGTTTCATCTGATGCTAACAGGAACGCATTCTGATACTTGTGTATATACGACCAGACAATGAAAGCCGCAGCGAACAATGAAAATAGTGAGCATGCGTGTGTGTGTATGGGGGTTGTTTCACTGGTAACTTGACTCTGAATCCTCTCAATAAATCGCCTCATAAAAGTCAGCATTTTGTAATAACTACTGAATGGTTCTTAAATATATACTGAATATTCGCCACATTGAACCGTGCGGGACTTTGAAGTTAAACTCTGTACTTTGGATTTGATCCAACATAAAAACCACCTACATATATATTAATGTTTTACACTTAACACGACATTTATATCCTATATTCGAAATGTTATCCATTCATAGCTTAATGATTGACGGTTTAATTGTAGTTACTTTGAAATTTTGATTACAATGTGACAAGTTTCCTGTTGTTACTTCAAAGAATTCTAGTACTGTAATTTTCTTTACGTTTTTTTTTTTTTGTTTTTTTATATACATGACAGGCAAATGACTCCACTCCACCACAGCCGCTGTTACGGGTAGATAGGAAATATGACAATGACATATCGCTAATATGCAGCAAGTGACTTTAACAATTGATGTTTGAAGAGTTCACTTTGTTATTGTTATGACTCCCCAGAATCTACTGTCTTTATCCATGTGAGAAATACTAAACTAAAACAATTGTAGAGTAAGGAATTTGTATTTTAGGAAATATCATGCTTACGTACCCATTTATAACGCGCCCACTTCAAACTAGAAAATAAGCAAGAATGCAGGTTGTTGTTTTTAAAAACAAAAATAAAACGAAACCAATTTTTCAACTCAACGCAGCAGTGAAGTCCCAACTTTTTTTTATCTCTTAAAGGTTTCTCCTTTCTTTACAACTAGCTTGTTGTTGTCTCTGTTACACTCGTAGAGCCAGAGAGGCTGTTTCGCTCATACGTAGCCGTCATCTAAGCGGTTTACAGTAGGGCTGCCTGACTGGCGCATCTTGAAGTGCCTCTTCATCAGCAATTGAAAACTTGTTATTTTCCTAAGGATTTTTGCATTGATTGCAATGTTACAGTGACTAGCCTAGCAACTGGTCTTAATTATTAACACAAAGATCGAACACTCACAAAAAATTCCGCTGGTTTCGAACCAACGTCTTCTAGCAAACCGTGCTAGTCGCTATGCCAACTAAGCCACGGAACAAACCAGTGGATCTTACGGATTTTTGTATGTGCTTGTTGCAGACCTTTGTTTTGTTTTTTTAACGACTTTTTTGCCATAGCGCCATTTGTGTACAATCTATTTCTTCAGATGGCGCTACAACAAAAAAAAAGGCGTTAAAAAAATTAAAACTAGGCAGAACGAAGGCATTTTTTCTGAGTGTTAGATCTTTGTATTGATAATTATAACAAACTAAAGTAATTTCACAAAAAAATAATTGAATGTGGTGGTGAATGTCAAAATTCAATAAACTTAATTACAACTGGTCACAATTCCAAATTAATGAATTATCATTGTTAATAATTGGATCAAAACTGCGACTGTTATCTGTAATTATTTTTATAAAATATTCGTTACTTTCAATAAGAATTCAATTCAATAAATCACCTCTCAATCAACCTAGGTAGTACAATTTTTAAATCAAACATTCTGACATTCCACTTTACTTTCCTACTCTTCTAATTAAAACGCAACGAGACGTTTGCGTTTGTTTGTGTTATTATAAAGTTGCAAAAAATATTAGGTTAAATAAAATAGGGGCTATTGTTCCTTGTGTGCGTTAATATACAAAACAATATTTTCGTGCATTTGGTAGCCCTGGGTAGGATTGGAAAAAGCGGCAGCAATGGCGCGCGGCGCGGGCGCAGCCCGCGGTCAATGACACGAGGTCGCGTGCTCAGGCTGTGCTACCGACTCCCGCGCTCAACGGCGGCGGCGGAGGCGCCTCGCGTTATCCAGCGCCACCGGGCCCTAACTGATGCGACACACATTATGCTTTCCATTGCTTGACTTTTGGACCAAACTCAATAAGTACAACAGCGCAAATATAAAAAATAACTAACGTATTTTCACAAAACAAAAAAATGGGTTTTTCATATTTATGCTATAGCGCCAGAGCTCTCTTTAAAGTGTTGAAAGAGTTGTACGGTGCGCATGACACTAGATACTGTTGTCGCTACCAAACCATTTAATGCTTTACGTACATAGAACAACACTACAGGCCCTGTTTCGCTAAAGTACACTTGAGCCATTACTGACATCGTTCATTGAACAAGATCCATTTGCGAGCTTCTTAAAGTTTCTGATAGTTTGCAAATTTATCAAGATACCCAACTGTATCTGAAATAAATTAAAACTGAGCGATCTGACTTAGTGGTGAGTACTTCACCGTTTTGGGTTCAAAAATTCGTGAACAATTCGTCCAAACAATTGTGAATTCCAAAGTCGTCAGAAGTGTCGTCGACAAGGGGATTGTATGAATCTTAATGCGGTACTAGAGTGTCTATCGAAAGAATAACAACTGTCTTTTATTCTTCGTAACGATTGTAACTTTTTAATTTACTAGAATGAAATTTTAGGCGATACTGAAAATACTGCTTGATCAAATTTTTCAAATAAAAATTTCAAATAGAAAAAAAAATAGTTCAAAATTAACACGGTCGATAAATTTGACCATTTCACACATCTTTTTTTACGATATCAAATGACGGGAGGAACAATTCCTGAGTCTGGCGTTGCAATTGCAGTTGCAGTGCCACTCAGAGCTGTAAATCACAAAGA